TGTTTCTTGAGGTAGGCCTGTAATGCTATGAATCTTCCCCTTAGCACTGCCTTTACAGTGTCCCATAGGTTTTGGGTTGTTGTGTTTTCATTTTCATTCATTTCTATGCATATTTTGATTTCTTTTTTGATTTCTTCTATGATTTGTTGGTTATTCAGAAGCGTGTTGTTTAGCCTCCATATGTTTGAATTTTTAATAATTTTTTTCCTGTAATTAAGATCTAATCTTACTGCACTGTGGTCAGAAAAGATGACTGGAATGATTTCAATCTTTTTGAATTTACCAAGACTAGATTTATGGCCCAGGATGTGATCTATTCTGGAGAAGGTTCTGTGTGCACTTGAGAAAAAGGTGAAGTTGATTGTTTTGGGGTGAAACGTCCTATAGATGTCAATTAGGTCTAGATGGTCCATTGTGTCCTTTAAAGTTTGTGCTTCTTTGTTCATTTTCTGTTTAGTTGATCTATCCATAGTTGTGAGTGGGGTATTAAAGTCTCCTACTATTATTGTGTTACTATTAATTTCCTCTTTCATACTCGTTAGCGTTTGCCTTACATATTGCGGTGCTCCTATGTTGGGTGCATATATATTTATAATTGTTATATCTTCTTCTTGGATTGATCCTTTGATCATTATGTAGTGTCCATCTTTGTCTCTTTTCACAGCCTTTATTTGAAAGTCTATTTTATCTGATATGAGTATTGCGACTCCTGCTTTCTTTTGGTCTCCGTTTGCGTGGAATATTTTTTTCCAGCCCTTCACTTTTAGTCTGTATGTGTCCCTTGCTTTGAGGTGGGTCTCTTGTAGACAGCATATATAGGGGTCTTGCTTTTGTATCCATTCAGCCAGCCTTTGTCTTTTGGTTGGGGCATTCAACCCATTTACATTTAAGGTAATTATTGATAGGTGTGGTCCCGTTGCCATTTATTTTGTTGTTTGGGGTTCACGTTTATACCACCTTTCTGTGTTTCCTGTCTAGAGAAGATCCTTTAATATTTGTTGAAGAGCTGGTTTGGTGGTGCTGAATTCTCTCAGCTTTTGCTTGTCTGTAAAGCTTTTGAGTTCTCCTTCATATCTGAATGAGATCCTTGCTGGGTAGAGTAATCTAGGTTGTAGGTTATTCTCTTTCATTACTTTAAGTATGTCCTGCCATTCCCTTCTGGCCTGAAGGGTTTCTATTGATAGATCAGCTGTTATCCTTATGGGAATCCCTTTGTGTGTTATTTGTTGTTTCTCCCTTGCTGCTTTTAATATTTGTTCTTTGTGTTTGATCTTTGTTAATTTGATTAATATGTGTCTTGGGGTGTTTCGCCTTGGGTTTATCCTGTTTGGGACTCTCTGGGTTTCTTGGACTTGGGTGGCTATTTCCTTCCCCATTTTAGGGAAGTTTTCAGCTATTATCTCCTCGAGTATCTTCTCATGGTCTTTCTTTTTGTCTTCTTCTTCTGGGACTCCTATGATTCGAATGTTGGGGCGTTTCACATTGTCCCAGAGGTCCCTGAGGTTGTCCTCATTTCTTTTGATTCTTTTTTCTTTTTTCCTCTCTGCTTCATTTATTTCCACCATTTTATCTTCTAACTCACTTATCCTATCTTCTGTCTCTGTTATTCTACTCATGGTTCCCTCCAGAGTGTTTTTGATCTCATTTATTTCATTATTAATTTTTAATTGACTTTTTTTAATTTCTTCTAGGTCCTTGTTAAACATTTCTTGCATCTTCTCAATCTTTGTCTCCAGGCTATTTATTTGTAACTCCATTTTGTTTTCAAGATTTTGGATCATTTTTATTATCATTATTCTAAATTCTTTTTCAGGTAGATTCCCTATTTCCTCCTCTTTTGTTTGACTTGGTGGGCTTTTTTCATGTTCCTTTAGCTGTTGGGTATTTCTCTGCCTTTTCATCTTGTTTAGATTGCTGTGTCTGGAGTGGGCTTTCTGTATTCTTGTGGTCTGAGGTTCCTTTTTATTGTGGAGGTTTCACCCAGTGGGTGGGGTTGGATGATTGGTTTGTCAAGGTTTCCTGGTTAGGGAAGCTTGTGTCAGCGTTCTGGTGCGTGGAATTGGATTTCTTCTCTCTGGAGTGCAATGGAGTGTCCAGTAATGAGTTTTACGATGGATCTATGTGTTAGGTGTGACTTTGGAGAGCCTGTATGTTGACACTCAGGTCTGTGTTTCTGCGTTGCTAAAGAATTTGCGTGGTATGTCTTGTACTGGAGCTTATTGGCTCTTGGGTGGTGGTTGGTTTTGGTGTAGGTATGGAAGCTTTTGGATGGTCTCTTATTCCTTAATGTTCCGTGTAGTCAGGAGTTTTCTGGTTTTCTCAAGATTTGGGCTTAAGTCTCCTGCTTCTGGATTTCAGTTTTGTTCTTCCAATAGTCTCAAGACTTCTCCAACTATACAGCACTGATAATAAAACTTCTAGGTTAATGGTGAAAAGATTCTCCACCATGAGAGACAACCAGAGAGGTTCACAGAGTTACATGAATAATAGGAGAGGGAGGAAGGAGATAGAGGTGATCAGGAGGAGAAAAAGGGGACTCAAGAGGAGAGAGACAGATCTACGCAGTTATCTGTTCCCAAAGTGTTCTCCGTAGCCCAGACACCCACAAAGATTCACAGAGTTGGATTGGGAAGAGAAGGGGAAAGGAGGAAATAGAGGTGTTTCGAGGTAGAAAACAGAGAGTCAAAAGTGGGAGAGTAATCACCACACTCCTGAATAGAAATGGGAACTGAATATTGGATTCTTAAATGACCAAAATTTATATCACCTACTACTGAAAAACAAAGATTAAAAATCTAGTGTAGAGGTTAGACTCTTTGAAATACAATATTTAAAAACAAAAACAAAAAAAAAATTTAGAAATGTATATGAAGTTTGATTTAAAAATAGGGTTTCTCTCTCTTTTTTTTTGGCAAGGTTATAGTGAAATGAAAATGAAATTAAGGAATAATAGAGGAGTATTAGAGGACTTTAAAATAGGAGAGAAAAACAAGAAAAAGAAAAAAAAAGAAAAAAAAATTTTTTTTTCCCCTAATTAAAAAAATCGTAAAAATATATGAAAATGAAAGTTGAGGAGTAATGGGGGAGTAATAGGGAATTTTAAAAGAAAATAAAAGAGAAAAAATTAAAAAAAATTAAAAAAAAGATAGAAAAAAAATTTTTTTTTAATTAAAAAAAAATATATATATATATATATATATATCTAGGAATTTCTCTGGAGTTGTTGCAGTCAGCGTAGGTTCAGTTCAATTTCAGATAGCTCCTCTTTCCAGCTTACACTTCTCGATATCTGTAGGCCCCTTCTGGTGTAGTCGGTGTTACCTTCAGGGATTTTAGTCTGTTGCACCATTCCTTTCTGAAGCGGTTCCCTTTGTTTATTTGGCTTCTGTTTGCCGTCTCTTTGGTGTCTAATTTCCGCCCTGACACAGGCGGGCGGAGGTGATCTCTTATTTAGGTTCGCTAGTTCAGTTCAGTCCTGCTACAGGGAGGGCGGGGCGCTGCAGACAGATACTGCTCTGTGTGGATAGCACTCACCGTGTTCCGGCCACACTGGGTTTGCCCCGCTCACGGGTGTCAGTGCTTTTGCCGTCTACACTGCTCAGGCTCCCGGCTGCTCTATATGGAGCGGGCCCTGCGTTGAGTGCGGTTCCAGATTTCGGGTATTCCACAAAAGCGCAGATTCGGTTGCGCCTGCGTTTTGTGCCTTCCCTGGCCTGAGCGGTTCAGGCAGCCAGAGGCTTGGGCGTACTCTCCCTGGGTGCGGCGCGCCTTTTCCCTCCGCGGCGGGCAGCCCAGGCAGCCAGAGGCTTGGGCGCACTCTCGCCGGAGGTGGCGCGCCTTTTCCCTCCGCGGCGGGCAGCTCAGGCAGCCAGAGGCTTGGGCGCACTCTCTCCGGAGGTGGCGCGCCTTTTCCCTCCGCGGCGGGCAGCTCAGGCAGCCAGAGGCCTGGGCGCACTCTCCCCGGATGTGGCGCGCCTTTTCCCTCCGCGGCGAGCGGCCCAGGCAGCCAGAGGCTTGGGCGCAATCTCCCCGGGTACGGCGCGCTTTTTCCCTCCGCGGCCCCAGCGCGCGCGCCGCCAGTCGGGTCTCAGGAAGTCTTTAGATAGGAACCGGGGGCCTGTTTGCAGTGTGGGAGGGGGTGGCTTCTCAGGGGCTGAGTTTGCCCTTTTCCCCTACCCCCTGCCTCCAACCTCCAGCGGGGATGGGCCGGCTCTTCTCTGGACTTTCTCAGTCCCTTTGTTTTGCGAACCGCCGGCAGTGTGTTCGGGCCCTAAGCAATGCCGCCCACTCCTCTCCGTCCCGCCCCCGCTTGTTGCTGGCGGGTATGGGCGTCTGGGGTACTTTTCTGCTGGGAGTTGCTTTTAGGCACGTAATCTGTGGGCCTTGTTTAATTTTTCCTCCCAGTTAGATTGCCGAAAACTTCCCCCAGTCCCGCCAGTGCGAGGGTTTCCTGGTGATTGGAAACTTCCTCTATTAAGACTCCCTTCCCGGGACGGGTCTCCGTCCGTAGCTCTTTTGACTCCCTTTTTATCTTTTATATTTTGTCCTACATCCCTTCGAAGACAATGGGCTGCTTTTCTGGGCACCTGATGTCCTCTGCTAGCGATCAGAAGTTGTTTTGTGCAATTTGCTCAGCATTCAAATGGTCTTTCGATGAATTTGTAGGAGAGAAAGTGGTCTCCCTGTCCTATTCCTCCGCCATCTTGGCTCCTTCCTACTTTTTAAAAATGATAAATAAGAACCTACTTATCCCTGGTCATCAAATGTGGACTGATTTGCTTCTTCTTTTGTGAAAACAGTCATAACTTGATGATTCATTTGGGTACAAATAATGGTTTAGGTACTTCCCTGGCAATTCAGTGGTTAAGACTCTGTACTTCCAATGCAGGAGGCATGGACTCGATCTCTCTTTGGAGAACTAAGATCCCACATGCCACATAGCATGGCCTAAAAATAAATAAATAAATAGATGGTTTACATTGCTTTATTTTTTTCATTAGGTTACCCTTTGGTCTGTGATAGCCAGATGAAGGAGGCTCCTGCATCATTTCCAGAGAGTGATAAAGAAGCCTTACAACTGGAGCAAGATTATGTCCATCGGGTTTATGAAGAAATTGCTAGGCACTTCAGCAGCACGAGACACACGCCTTGGCCACACATAGTAGAGTTTTTGAAAGCTTTGCCAAGTGGTTCATTAGTGGCTGATATTGGATGTGGAAATGGAAAGTATCTTGGCATCAATAAGGAGTTATATATGGCAAGTAATTATCTTTTCTGGCTTTATTTTTGCTTTATTTGTAAAGGTTATCATCACCTTCCTCATGATATAATGCTGTGTTTTTTGGTCATTGCAAAAAATTTATAACCAACAGGTTGAAAATTAATGAAGAATTAATTATTCTTTTTTATTCCTCTAGAAATTTATAGGCATGCCATTATTTGTAGTTTTTTGGCTTTTTGTTCCCTTCAGATTATGCTTTCTAAGAAGATTATCAGTAAAACTATCTTACATAACTCTTTGCAGGTTATAAAAATGATTTTTATTTATAGGAACCATTTTCTTTGCTTAGTTCCTCCTAAGAAGTATAAAGTAGATACTTTGATCCATCTTTAATGATTGAAGAAATTGAGGCTCACAGAGTTTGTATATTACTTCCTTGGTACTGTATTATTGGGCTTCCCTGCTGGCTCAGACAGTGAAGAACCTGCCTGCAATGCGGGAGACCTGGGTTTGATCCCTGGGTTGGGAAGATCCCCTGGAGGAGGGCATGGCAACCCACTCCAATATTCTTGCCTGGAGAATCCCCATGGACAGAGGAGCCTGGCAGGCTACAGTCCATGGGGTCGCAAAGAGTCAAACACGACTGAGCGACAAAGAAGTGAAAGTCTCTCAATCATGTCCAACTCTTTGCGACCCCATGGACTGTGTAGTTCATGGAATTCTCCAGCCGTGAATACTGGAGTGGGTAGCCTTAATCTGTTTTTGAGGAGATAACTAGAACTTGAGCCCATGCCTTATGACTCCAAATCTAGTATTCTTTTACTCATAGTAGAAAAAAAGGTTAGTATTTATTGTCTTTCTTTTGAGAAAATTAAGCCTCAAGTAGATTAAAAATTTGACCAAGGTTATAGTACTCAGTCTAGGGTAGAACCCACTTCTCTCTGATGCCAAAGTTTTCAGTTGTTACAATTTCCTTTTCTTAGGGATCACTTTTTTTCCCCTGCTATGTTAGGAAGTAGGAAGTTCTCCCTGCATTAGTGTATTGTTTGTAGATACTCCTGTCACCACTACTCTCTGAGGACTGGAGCTCCCCTTTCTCAAAGTTAGGGGAGGAAGGACTAGAGAGTAAGGGGGATTATGTAAGGAGAATGAGAGCAGTTCATTCATGGGCTGTTGTAGTATGTCAGATTGCTTCTAATCTTTACCTCGTCCTAGATGTTATACACCTACATTAAGGAAGAAAGGTAATACTGCAGTTGAGGAAAGGTAGACTTTCTTCATTAAGAGGCAGACAAAAGAATTGCTTTTCACCAAAATAAGACATAAGTATTCATATATTGCCATCATGTTTACAACTAAATTTTAGTTTATAAAGAATAAAGTCTTGTGAATTAACTTTGTTCATATTGAAGAGGAAATAGGGTTTTAGATTTCTCACAGCTCTAACCATAGTTTAAAACAATATATCTTCTGATGTTTTAATCTTAAGGTACTGTCCAAAAATGTTTTTCAGTGAGTTCTGCTTTTACACTTTCTTGATGATAACCTGTGGCTTTATCTAGTCAGGTATCATTTATGACAGTGAAACTAGGTTGAAGTCAGCCACACTGATTCAGTCATATGACAACATTATCCTTTTACAGTCAAGACAAATGATTTCTTGATAATCTGAACCAAGAATCTAAAGCTGATTCAAGAAGGAATATATTTAGAAGAATTAGGAATTCATAAGTGCCCTCACTCCATTATCTGCGTTCGTTTCATCTGTGGCAGGCTGCATGTATTCTTTGCTTTCTGCCCTTCTACTGCCATTTTCTGACCTCAGAGAAGGCTTGGTAGATGTTGTTCATGAATGAATGAAAACTGCTTGTCTGAGTTGGAGTTAGGGTTTTCATTATACAAGAAATGGAATTATGGATGATAAAAGAGAAACCTACTTTTTTAAGCTGCTGAGGCTCCAACCTGGATGGAGCAGTGATAGTTGAGTGTGTTTTGAACAGGATCTTTGAGCATGAAAGCACATGCGTTTCTTGACATTCATGAGAGGGTGTGACCTGAGACATTTTCTAAGTGTTCAAATGTAGGATAGTCTCAGAATCTAAAAAATTATTAGTATCACTGTTTCATATAATTTCTAACAAAGTATATTTTTAAAATCCTAGCTTTGGTTCTCTTAGAAATAGTTTTATGAACAACCATCCTTTTCTTTTAGAAGTAAATCTGTTCTTCTGTGATCTGAGGTATGCATGCACTTTTTCTTCTGCCATTTAACTCAAAATTTCTATATTCTAGCTAAGAAACACTTCTTTTTCAGGCTTCTTCATTCCTAGCATCAGCATTAGCTGTTGGCTTTATTTTCAGAATTAAAATTTATAAAAAAGATTTTATACCTTCAAGAAACTTATTACCTTTATAATTGTACCAATAATAGATGAGATGTGCATACCCAGAGCCTGGCCTAGCTTATTTACCAAGTGATGTTTTGTGCATTGGTCTTAAAGTACTTTTAGTCCAGATGTATTTCTTAGATAAATAATTAATATTTGGTAGGAACTTTATAGGTTGTAATAAATAGTTGGGATTACAAATTTAATAAAATAATAATGTCAGGTGTCTATAATGATAAGAATTGAAGATATGATTATATAGGTTTCTTTTATACATTTCTGTTTTTGTTTTGCTTTGCTTTTTAACTGTTGACTGCCCAGTAAAGGAAGGAACAGAAAGGAACTAACAGTGTCAGGTACCTGCTATGTGCTAAATGCTACAGTGGGAAAGTGGGAAAACCGACGCTTGATCAGGTTATGACATACTCAAGATTACAAGGTGTCAGGACAAGTTTTAACCTCATCTCCACCTGGAGAGTTCATACTGTATGGCATTCTAATAAGAGAGATTACCTTAGAGACTAGCTGTGGGGACAGCACCAGGCTGTTAGCTCAACACAGCAGGGCTGTCTGATGTGTCTGATGTCCACTTACTTACACATAATAGAAACTTATTAATGGTTTTTTGAATACTGAGAAGCAAATCTGTAAATTCACCTTCAATTTCTTAGATGAAATTGAAGAACATCAGACTATATATATATATATATGATGTGATCTGTAATCTTGAAGGAAGTGTGACAGCCTCCAGTGCGTGGTCTTTAGCTCGGTGTGGTACCTAACTCAGAGTACGTGAGATGGACTTCTCTTCATATCTAGAATTCAGGACAAGAATTTTGTGCATCTTTTGTTTCATATAGCAGCAATAGCTAACATTTGCATAGCACTTTTATGGTTATTTAAATATTTAATATGAATCATTTCATTTGATTCTCATGCTAACCCTGAGAAGCAGGTATTTTTATAATGAGAAAACAGGCTCTGAAAGATTAAGTAGCTTTCCTAATCTGTTTAGCTAATTATTACTCAAGACAGAATTCAGATCAAGAGTTTAACATGATCTTTTCGTTGTACTTTATGCCTTTGCTTATTTCTCTGCCCTTTATATGTTGACAGTCTGATTGTCCTGTAATTGCATGTTTTCTCAGTAGTTCTTAATATGCTGTCTATTTTTTTTAATTTACTTTTTATTGAAGGATAATTGCTTTACAGAATTTTGTTGTTTTCTGTCAAATCTCAGTATGAATTAGCCATAGGTATACATACATCCCCTCCCTTTTGAACCTCCCTCCCATCTCCCTCCCCATCCCACCCCTCCAGGTTGATACAGAGCCCCTGTTTGAGTTTCCTGAGCCAGACAGCAAATTCCCCGTTGGCTATCTACTTTACATATGGTAATGTAAGTTTCCATGGTACTCTTTCCATACATCTCACCTTCTCCTCCCCTCTCCCCATGGGCATAAGTCTATCTCTATGTCTCTTTCTCCACTGCTGTCCTGAAAATAAATTCTTCAGTACCATTTTTCTAGATTCCGTATATATGAGTTAGAATACAGTGTTTATCTTTCTCTTTCTGACTTACTTCACTCTGTATAATAGGTTCTAGGTTCATCCACCTTATCAGAACTGACTCAAATGTGTTCCTTTTTATGGCTGAGTAATATTCCATTGTGTATATGTATCACAGTGTCTTTATCCATTCATCTGTTGATGGACATCTAGGTTGCTTCCATGTTCTAGCTATTGTAAATAGTGCTGCAATGAACAATGGGATACATGTGTCTTTTTCAATTTTGGTTTCCTCAGGGTATATGCCTAGGAGTGGGATTGCTGGTTTTATTCCTAGTTTTTTAAGGAATCTCCATACCGTCTTCCATAGTGGCTGTATCAATTTTTATTCCCACCAACAGTGCAAGAGTGTTCCCTTTTCTCCACACCCTCTCCAGCATTTATTGTTTGTAGACTTTTTGATGATGGCCATTCTAACCGGTGTAAGGTGATATCTCATTGTAGTTTTGATTTGCATTTCTCTAATAATGAGTGATGTTTTCGTGTGTTTGTTAGCCATCTGTATGTTTTCTTTGGTGAAATGTCTGTTTAGGTCTTCTGCCCCCTTTTTGATTGGATTGTTTGTTTTTCTGGCAATAGTTGTATGAGCTGCTTGTATGTTTTGGATGTTAATCCTTTGTCAGTTTTTTCATTGGCTACTTTTTTCTAACCCATTCTGATGGTTGTCTTTTCACCTTGCTTATAGTTTCCTTAGCTTTGCAAAAGCTTTTAAGTTTAATCAGGTCCCACGTTTTTACTTTTGTTTTTATTTCTGTTACTCTAGGACGTGGGTCATAGAGAATCTTCCTTTGATTTATGTCATCAACTGTTCTGCCTATGTTTTCCTCTAAGAGTTTTATAGTTTCTGGTCTTACATTTAGGTCTTTAATCCGTTTTGAGTTTATTTTTGTGTATGGTGTTGGAAGTGTTCTAATTTCATTCTTTTACATGTAACTGTCCAGTTTTCCCAGCACCATTTATTAAAGAGGCTGTCTTTGCCCCATTGTATAGCCTTGCTTCCTTTGTTGAAAATAAGATATCCAGAGTTGGACACGACTGAGTGACTTCACCTTCAGTTTCACCCAGCATAGGTGCATGGGT